CCAGTCTGAGTTCACCAGCCACACCTACTACCTTCAGTGACTCAGTGGGTTGTGTTTATATCCCCTTTCCCTGACCTACTAATGCTTTAGACCGGGGTAGGCAACATTTTTTGGCCGGAGTGCTGAAAAAACCACAATGTCTACCTTGGAAGATGCCACAGTGCCGACATGTCAGAGCCTGGAGCAGCTGTTTGCAGCCTCCCAGCTGCAGCCAGCCCACAGAGCAGCCTGGGCTCTGTGGGTGGCAGCAGCTGCTTAGAGCCTGAGCTGGTAGTGGTGTGCTGAGCAAAATGGCCTTGTGTGCCATGCTCGGCACGTGTGCCGGGGGTTGCTGACCCCTGATTTAGAAAGTGCCAGGCCAACATTGTGGCTTTTGGCCCTGTTCTCAGTATCAGTAACCTTCTTGCTTCCTTTCTGCTCTATTACTTTATAAAAGCTTTGTGCCATAGCCCATTTTTTGCTCCCTCACAGGAGCACCCATGTCAGCATGACTGGGTGGGTTCTGCAAATGGACGAAACTGCCTTCCTCTCCTCTCTCCAAACACATTCAGACATCTTTGGCAGCTTTTCCTCTGTAGGTAATCACAATATGAGCTCCTGGTTCATGGTGTTCCTTGTAAAGAGCCTTTCACACACAAGTTTTGCAAACAGAGAAGAACTAAGACTTCCCATTGCTCTCAGAGGAATGTATTAGCTTCCTTTTACTGATGAGGGACAGGGAGACATGCAAAGATTGCAATGAGCCCCAGGTCACACAGTCATTTTTGACCATTAGAAGTAGCACTGAGACCTTTCGATTCCTGTGGGCTGCTTCGTTAAGTGATAACTGTTCAAGTCCTAATGCTGTATGAGATTTCCTGCCCTCTGCTCGTCAACTGATAAGACTTCCACCCATTCCCATGCCAGCAATGAAAGAAATGAGACATTTTTGAAAGCTGGAGTGATCTCTAACTCTGTTTCTTAAGAAGTCCCTGATGGACAGTTAGATTGTATTGGAAGAAAGCCTCCCCCACTGCTTTGTGCTTGCTGCATTGAGTAGCAAAAACTAGTCAGCCACTGAATAGGGTTTACTTGAAGTCTCTGAATCAGATTGAGTGATTGGATGGGATGCTGCCATCTCGGCAGCCTTGGACATGCGGAGCTGGAGGAAACCTTCTGGTTCATTTAGTCCAGCTCCATGCTGTAAAGGTGACAATGCTGGAATATCCTATTCATAAAGTGATCTAGGTCCACATTAGATCATCTTAAGTGGTTTGTCTCCACTGCTAATCCCAGTAGAAGGGTTGTTTCAGAGCCTTACTGCTCTGGTACAAAACCTGCTCATGTCCTACCTATGTTTGTTCATGACTTGTTTGTACCCATTTTTCTTGCTTCAACTTTGTCCTTTAGCTTAAACAACTCTTTCCTCTCCCTGTACTTGGAGCAATGCCCTCTCTGCCTCCAGTGCACTAAGCCAAACAAGTCCAGCTCTGCTTGTCTCCTCTTGTGGACCCAAGAGCATTCGGGGCCTTTCAGGAAAAACATGAGGCAATTGGAACAAGCTACCATCATTTTGGGAATGCTCTGATTTTGCAACACTTTCTCAAGGGAGGTGAATTTTCTCTGTCCTGCTCTAGGTCTTGTGCTGGGAGGTGCAGTGAGATAAGCTTTGATTTTCCCAGCAGGGAGAGGATAGCTCAGGAGGGATTGCAACATAACAGCAGCCATTTCTGAAATTGGTTCCAAAGCTTGCTTTAAGCATGGGTTGGGGAGAATCTG